TAGACAAGATCCTGTAAGATTCTGTAGAATCTTATTGGGAATGGGATCCTAACTAGGATCCTGAGCATGATCCTGCATAGGAATAGGAACTTACAAAGGATCACAATTTTAAGTAAGATCCTAAGTATGAATAGGATCCTAAACAGCCATTGATATTGACRAGGCACTGAGAGAGTWAAGTCTCTTGCCTAAGGTCACAACGTGRTTGCTTGGTCTGGAAATCCACAACTGAAAACTGTGATGTTTTGACTATAATGTTTAARCTTACTTTTAAATGTTCCCTCAATTCATCAACTCTTCCATTCACTTCAAGATATCGTGTTTCACTGGACTGTAGCTTTTCTTCAAGTCTGGATATCAAGTCCTAAAAAGAAGTTTGTTAGCTGACATGATCAAACATTCTAGAATGAACAATCAGACAATCTTACCRCTGCCTCCTCAGCCTCTTGTGCATTCATTAGAAGTTTCTAAACAGCAGAGAGGCAAAAAATGTTAAAAGAAGGCTACAAAATGTTGCCTAGTTCAAAAATCACCATCATTTAAGTCAATATAATTAATATGTAAGAATGGTGTAATAATTAATTAATTTCTTTTAATCATTATAATCACCTTGTTGAGTCCATCCATTTCTTTGGCCATTGAATCGTTTTCTTGTCTGAAATATGCAAACAGGTATAACATGTACAAACAAGAGAGGAAAATAGAAAACGAACCTAAGGTATTAACTGTGTAAAAACTAATGGTTTTAAAGCAATGCCATTGCAGATGATAACTGAAAATAGTGTACCTCAATTGAAACACAAGTTGCTCTGTTTCCTCTGCATTTGATGTTGCCTATTTAAATGAACAAATACATTTAGGAAGTTCATCAATCATTCATTCAATCAAATAATCAACTGATCAATCAATCAAGCAATCAATTAAGCAAGCAAGCAAGCAAGCAAGCAAGCAAGCAAGCAACTATGCTACATTTGTACTAATAGATATTTATCAAAGTACCTTGCTTTGATGTGTAACAATAGAATTCTGTAGTTCTTTGATTGTTTGACTGCTTTCCTCCTGAAGTTCAAAATACCTCTGCAAAAAGAAACATGTTTAGCAACAATAATTGTAATGTACTGCGCATGGTCACATGACAAGACCTTTGACTAAAAGACACAATACCTGATTTGCTATCCCTGATTCTTCTTGTAGCTTGGTGATCTGCTCAGCAAGGATCTAAAACAAAAAGTAATAAGCAAACGAAATGTACATGTATGTCTCTATTATTGTCTTTACTGTTAGAGACATCTTGCTCTTTAAGCCAAAAGTTGGTAAGGTCATGCAGTCCTTAATTTCAGTCTCTGTTACCAAGAAGTCACTTTGTTTATTGCTACTTTCTTTACAAGTTGGAAATAGTCCTTTGGTTTAGATGTGATTGCCAGATATCTGACAGACTGACCAGTCTTAGACATCTAGCCAACAACATTCATGATAATAGTTATGAACACAAAACAACCAAAATATTTACCCTTATTTCATTATCTTTCTTGTTTTTCAGATCATCAAGTGATTTTCTACACAATTCAAAACAGAACTGGTTTACAATGAGTCATTGTGATTAATCAATTTCAGAATTAAAAACAACAACAGCAACAACAACAATAACAACAACAACAGCAGCAACAACAACAACAACAACAACAACAGCAACAAAAACAACAACAACAGCAACAACAACAACAACAGCAACAACAACAACAACAATTAAAACACAAAGGAAGATGCAATACTCAGACAACCATTGCTGTGATGTTAATCCAGTGTGCATACACTTTCTTACTTGCTATCAGAATATGACTTTTCTTTTTCTTCTTGTAATTGTAAGTAACTAAATAAATGAAAAAAACAATATGACTATGAATAATGATTTTAATATGTACTTGTATGACTTAAAAATTGTAATTTAGAGTGAATCAAATGGAATTAAAACATGTTTAGTAACCTTTCTTGTTTCTTTTTGAGCTTGTCTGTTAACTATATAACACAAAATATCAAATAAATAATAGTAAACAATCATACTTTCTTGAGCACAGACCCATAAAATTAAAGTCACACACACATAAATGTTTGAATATACTAGATTGTAATTACTAGTGATCATACAGTGTCGTGCTTATGGTACAGTGAGACCTAACCTTTGAAATGTCATCTTTTTGTTGCGCAATTTCTTTTTGACTACTTTCCTATATAATGGGACAAATGAATGAATGAATAAATGGATGAAAAATGAATGGAAGGATGAAACAATAAATTAATTGAATCAAATGGATGGATAAGATGGAATAGGAAACATAAGTGAATGAGAAAGCAATGAAACAGCATAGACAGGAACATACATCGATGTTGTATTCAAGGCAGCTGTGATATGCCATCCAAACTACCAGTAAATATAAACAAGTTTGATACCTCTCTCTGTAGTAATTGTTCTTGAAGAAGGTGTTTTTCCTCCAGTTCGGTGTCCAGACGTAATTGCAGTCCTATAAAAACAACATATATCTTTAGAATCCTACAATCAAATCCTACAATTCTGAAAGCTTTAAGGCTGCTGTTGTGCTGCAAAAGAATATGGTTTCAATTGTAGTGGGCGAAGGTGAACTGTACAATAAAAGGGAGCAAATGCTAATTTACCTGAAAATAAATACCCATTTTTATTCACATACCTGACATTTCTTTCACCTGTCTCTCTAATGATAAAACTTTAGCTTCAGACTAGAATAAAATGTATAATTATAAATACCATGGAAAAACAATTTCAATACATGCTTTGCAATAGTGGCAAGCTGATTGCTTAAAGTCGAAATGAGCCAATGTCTGGGCCAGATGTTCAATTCTGAGTTCAATGAAAATTTCAGATGAAATTGAAACAAACAATTGGAGGCATTGCCAATGAACTTGTATATTATACAGTAGTACAAGATTTCATGTTTGACTCAGATCTTAGCTCATTCTTTCGAAACTTTGTGGAGAAGGACATGAAGTTAAAAGCATTGTTCTACATCATTGTCAATCAAATACAAAATACTTAACAATAAAGGAAAATATCAATTTCATCAATGCACATAATGCTTTTTGAATATATATGTTACCTGTTGAAAGGACTCTTTACTTATTCTGGCATTTCCATTAACCTTTGAATCTATAAAATACAATATCAATTACTTCGTACCAATACTGGTATATAAGGGATARCTTTAAGAATGTGCTTTATACAATTTTTTTAATTCATCGTTTCCAACAAACATCACAAGCTGAATGAAAGATAAACCAAGGTTTTCAAAATCTCAGTTTAATTGGTAAACAGTTAACGTAAGCTTTACAATACTAGCCTGTGACTCTTCCGTAATTTTCTCCTAATAATTTATGGATAATAGGTCACTAGCTATGTTCTACCAATACACGAYCTTCAAAAATGGTGGTAGTTCACGATCGGCAATATCGCGGGACTTAAGTGACGAATTATGGAAACAAGACCTCAAAGGTGATCTACATGTATCTAGAAATCACTAGGAAGATCGCATGTGGRTAGTGGCCTAACTATGAGAACTCGTTTTAATGCTTTGTTCCCAGTGCCCTGGTTGACGGACTGTGACATATCGTGTCATTTTCATGAATAAATATTCTATACTTACCAGCAGATAGTAAAGGTGATATTGCTGTTACTATTCTGTCCTTTACAGACTGTATTTCAACATCAATGGTGTGATTTTCAGTCTCTTTGGTATTGTCCTCTGACCCAATGTCACCATTAACTTGGACATCTTTAGTTTGTAGACTTTGTATCTTTATACTAAGTTCATTTAATTCTTCATTTAAAATATATTGTAATTTATTATTAACGTCATCGTTTTCATTGTTTGAATTTGAATCACCATCGGTAATATTCAAAGGCTCAGTAGATGAATCCTTGATTTCTAATTCCGTAATTTTATTTTCAACATTTTCTTCTTCAGTAGCTTGTTTGGAATTTTTCTGTAAGGCTTCCAGCTCTTGATCGTACCTTTCTTGTGCACCTGACAAGATATGTTTGTTAGTATATACCATCATTATCGATACATGACATCAATATTAAATGGGATTGAGTGTATTTAGTATTATAAATGATATCAAGCAATGTCATCGTCATCATCATCAACAGCATCATCATTGTCATAAGCTCTACTCTAATGTCATTACTCAATAAACTATGATAAATATTAGACATACAGTATAKGCACTTCAATCTTACTTGCAAGACTTTTCTGCAACGCTACATTTTCAGCCCTAAGTCGGATGATTTCTGCATCATTACTGCTATTCTCTTGTGACCCAGTCTTGTGCAATTTTTCAAAATCCTTTTTCAAGGAATCGTTTTCTTCATTTAGCTAAATTTTGAAACATAAAAAGGCAAATTTATATACTGCATCAGCTGGAACTTACGTTTCAAGACTTGGGCATGGTTTTCCTGTGTCAAATACCACAGGATTCCCAAACTCACCCTTGTTATCTCCAGAAGGAGAGTTTGATTTTGTAGTTTAAAATTCTCTTCTTGAGACTGTTGAGAAGTATAAAATAAAATGCATTAAAAAAATTAAACAAAAATAGAGATTAAATCATGGGGAAAATGTGTGCTTGTGAAAGAACTGCAAAAATGTTTAGATGTGTTGCATGATAAAAGATGTATAAACAAGTCAAACTTCAAGTTTGCTGGACATCATGTCCATGAACCCACTGTTCTGAAAGACAGCAATCAAGACAATCATTCTTACCTGAAACTGTCTTTGTAAACTTTCATTTTCCTCTAACAATAGTGAATATTCCTGCAGCAAACAGACAATATCATTATCATGTGTTATTATATTAGTGGTAAATACCAAGAGGTACTGCATATTCTCACCTTTTTCTGCTTGCTTTTATTTATAATCTGAAAGAGAATTGATTGAAATTATGTCACAATCTGCCATAAACACTTGAATATTGGTTTACAATTCAGACATGTCCCAGCAGTCAAGACTGATAAAGTCATTTCCTTTTTTTTATTAATTCACTAACTACAGCTTTACCTTTTGACTTTTCTGAAGCTCTTTCTCTTGTGAGAGTAATTTGTCTTGGAGGTTTTTGATTTCTATAATAGCAATTKATATATTCACACAAAGATCCTTATATAATAATTACACGTAGCATCAGGACGTAACATCAACTCCTTCACAAGTTAAATGTTTATCTTAATAGCTCTACTTATAGTAATAACAAACATAACTTTGCAAAAACGAAAGTAAGCTTAAAACTGAAACTGCATCAAAAAACACAACATTTAAATATTACACTAATTAAAACTCCACAAAAGAAAGCAATCGATAAGCAAACTCGAATTTCGTGAATCAGGTGATGACTTCAAAAAGTCAGACCTACCAGAATCTTGTCTTTGATTTTGCGCTTCAAGTTCGTAATTCAGAGTGCGCAGCTCGATGATCTGCTCCTGTAGATATAGAGTTATGCATTTGAGTATCAGATTAGTGTATATTATGRATAGTGTTGTTTAAACTACCTGTATTCGACCGAACTCTTCAGCCGATAAGGACTGCGCCATCTTGAATTACTCCAAGAATAACAACTCCCAGCAGGCCTTGCAGGGGATTAAACCCCAGAATGCTTTGTTCAACTCAARCTAGAGAAAAATGAAATGAGAATAAACGGAAAGGATGGTATAAAAGTATGATTTATATGCATATCAGCATTGCTTTACGAAAAATATATCAGGAATTCCTGTTACTTTTTGTGCTTTTGCGAAGCGACTTGAGAGAGAATATTTTACCACAGGAAACCCAAGCATTTCGTTTCGATGAAAATTATCCTTAAAACGTATCAAAAATATGAAGAAAGATGATAGAGTATATCAAAAACAAAGTTTTAAAGTCCATAAATCATATATTAATGTATATCTGATTAAAGAATATATTTTCCTGTTGCAATATTGGGCTTCCTGTGTGTTTTTTAGACTTGGAGAAACCTGAACTGCTAGAAACCTGCAGAAACCAAACCGGTCCAAAGACCGTTATTCTTTTCTCAGAAACTGCGATTCCTCTCAGAGATTAGATCTCTTAAGAATTGCTTGGAGTTTGGTTTTCCCTTATTCGGAAGTTAAAGTTCAGACAGCTTCGCTTTCTTGTAGAATATTCATTTYMTTTTTGCTTATCCTCTTTCTGTTCACACGTCACTTGCTGTCAAATTATGATATAATCGACAACAAACATCGATTACGATCTAGAACTTAAATTTGGTACGAGAAAACACTGTATAAGATGCCTAAAGCAAAAAGTCAGCGACAAAGGGAAATCGCCAAACAATTTTGGCAATATTTATGCTCAAAGAACCTCCGTCCTTCAAACAAACTCGAACTTAGACAAGTTTACTATAATGAATTCAAGAAAGGAATCCCATCTTCTCCTACCGTGGCGTTTTCCTCGGTTCTTTATCAACTTAAGAGAATGAAGAAGCTGACAAAGGGAAGCGATAAGGAGTCTATCCTCTATTATGAACGAAAAGGCAAGAAGATGGTCATTGCAATGGATCAGAACTTTGTGCAAAGGCGCAAGACTAAGAATGACAAAGATAAACTTATCGAAGTACCAAGAAACCAAGCATTCCTGGAACAACTYAAAAAAGCATTTGTTCAAAACAAGTATGTTTTCAGATTGAAGGTTGATTTCCATAATCATGAAATGATTGAATCAATTAACCAATCATGCCATCAATCATTTAATCAATCATGCAATCAATTGATCAATTTAACAGTCATGCAACCAATCAGTTCATTGCTCTTTAGTCAGTGTATTCATTAAATTCATTATTGCTTTTACAGAAATGCAATTGTCGAAGATAAGAACGGAGTRAGAATATTCTCAAATTTAGACAAATCAAATGGGGTAATCGACTTTGGTACTTTCCCAGTCAATGGAAGCTCAGAAGTCATAGAAATCACAATMAAAAATGCTGGCCAAACTCCAGTGAAAATCAAGCGTTTCTCAGCCCTGGAGAAAGTATCAGAATTCAATTTAAGTGACAAGCATGGTATCACAAACATGACTAGTGATAAATTCAAAGTTCTCAGRGTCAATAGCCAGAAGCAGTACAGTATTTCTGTACTATTTAAACCACCTAATTTAGGCCACTTTAAGCTTCCTATTGTTTTTGAGTTTGAGCAAGAAGAGCCAGAGCAGAAGGTCTTTCACATTGCACGYTTCCTTGTTGGTCAAGCAACCAATGATGATGTCAATAGTCTATTACCCACAACTGAATACCAACACCCCTCCCCTATGGCAAAAATGTATGATCCAAAAGTGCATGTCATTGCTGGTGAACCACCGGATAGGTATGTAATTYCTGTGTAAATCAATTTGTAAATTCATGTTGTTTGTTGCCAAGACATTGTGATRATTAAACTGACCCTCCCCTCCCTAGTAATTAGGTTTATTGTTTATGTTTATGGGTAGTATCAAGTGTAATGTGCGGAGTCGCCTGAAGTACAAATAAAGCGATTTAGAGGAACGCTGTGCACAACATTATGACCATTTTCTCATAGCTACCATTGCGTATTCACTACAGGTGAAGCAGCTTTACAAAAGCCTCTTGTTGCCATTTAGACAATTACAGTAATGATTATTAAACTCTTTGATATAATGAGTATTTTGGCCTCGCAAGACTTTGATATTAATTTCATCTCGATTTTATTTGGTCTTGACGCACAAAATCAGTTTGTATTGTCTGTAAAACTAGTTTCGTTTTATTAAAAACCTCCTCAGTTACAAGACTTGTCTAACACTSTTTAAACTGTTTTTCAGATTAGATAGTCAGCTAATATACAAAGTTCCATTGTCTAARTTTGCAATTCCATATGACTTGAGAGTTAGTCTTAACAAAGGAGAACCAAGTAGACATCTTGAAGAATTGTTGACATCAGAAATTACACAGACAAACTACCAGGAAAGATTTTCWGCCTTGTTGCATATTGAAGAGATGCAAATGGAGGTGGATATAAGGCACTATGATGTGGAGAATGCAACCATGGTAAAAGATGGCAGATATTTGGTTTTGGATGTAAGTGGGGTCTATTTGTGAATGCTGCAAGCCTTGCAGACGTATATTATTAGATATCCTTAGAGATCCTTAGATATCTTTTGATTTTATAAAGTATGTTATGTCAATGAGAAATGAAATTATACTCACTTGTCAACATCAAGCTAAATTTTTCTATTATCCCAAATTTCACCCTGAMACCTTGGTTAGTCACCCAGAAGGGAATAAAGACAACAAGGCGCTTTTCGTCTTTTCGTAATGTGTAATTGTTAGAAAGCAATGATTTTCACAAGCAGGAATGAGCTTTATAATTCCACAGTGCCTCATATAAATTCCTTTGTAAGAGACGATTGAGGTGTAAAAAAGGCATGATCACGTGACCTCCATCTGCAAAAATCTAATTGATTAAATGTAATTTAAAGGTGCCAGGGCTTGCCGAAAATCGWCCATCTATCATTAAAGGAGACCATTTATTCGTCCAAATACAGCATAAAGATGGCAAAGAAAACAACGAATACCAGGGATACATTCACGATGTTTTACTAAATAAAGTCAAACTTAGATTCTGTGCAAGGTAGACCCGGAATAACTTTATACTTTATGCTGTGTTATTACCAGAAAAGAATCAAATTCAKATATAAAATCGCTTCGTTTCAGCTTTCATAAGTTGTATGTGAAGGGAATGAAAGTGAAGGTTAGATTTACGTTCGGACGAACGCCATTACGWCTYGCTCACCGTGCTTTACGCTTGCAAAATGACATGGAAAATGTCCAGGAYGTTTTGGGTCTGGGTAAAGGAGAAATYGAAAGATTGCCAACTATTTGCGCTCCAGAAAAAGTCAAAAGGTAACCAATTCATGAAATGAAATGGTGGTGGGGGACTAGTCCCTTCGGTCAGTCCCTTCACTATCTGTGGATTAACTGTCGAATTCCTGAGGGTTTTAGCCAATTAAATTTCACCCTGAAAACGGACGATTCGCTTTCAGTGGCACATTGTCCGATGTAAGTCRAGGAGAAAGCATTGCCATCGACTGGAAAGGGTTCACTAGTTGTTAAAAAAAACACTATTAAGCCCTTATTGTTCGTTCCGACTTTCTTTGATCGGAATTCTTCATTTTTAGGCCAATTTCGCTTTTATTACTGATTAGATTTGGTTCTTTTACAGGATGTACAACACTAAACTTGAAGAAAATCCTGAACAAAAGCAAGCTGTAACTAACATAGTGTCAGGAACATCGCGTCCCGCRCCCTACCTCATCTTTGGACCGCCAGGAACGGGGAAAACCGTGACYGTGGTAGAATCTATCAAACAGGTAATGAAAATTAGTACGACKAATAACGAGAGAGATGTAATTTACCTTTGACAAACAGTTTACATAAGAACGGAGGCAGATGTGATTATATATTAACTGTTCATGGGAAACGTTGTGCACCATTCTAAACTTAAAGCGATTTTTATTCTAGGTTCTTAAGGTTTTAGAGAAAAGCCGAGTTTTGGCGTGCGCTCCATCAAACAGCGCGTCTGACTTGATTCTTGAACGAGTGATTGAGCACAGTGTCGTCCCCAAAACTAAAATGCTGAGGCTTAACGCTTTTGGACGATCATTTGCTACATTACCAGAATCTATCAAGGTATTATTATCTTTGTTGACAGTCAATTAATCACTACTTCATATCAGACCAGAAAACCTCGACGAAATCTGTCGATGAACGTATATAATGTCTTCGAGGGCAAGACTCATTTCTTATCATTTTAAAGGCTCAGTTTGCACCATTATGCTTTGCGCGCCTCTGTTATTGCTATGATTTACACCAAAATACTTCTAGTATCCAAATATCACCATAAAACGAACGTCAGATGGTTGAAAAATCTAATATTAGCATTTAAAGTGCTAAAAAAGTTAGATGGTCAAAGATTGGAAACGCACAGTACATTTTATAGACTTTCTGTAAACTGAAAATGGCCGACTCCAGGCCCTCGCGGCCCCCAAAGCATAATGGTGCACACTGGGCCTTTAAATGAAAAAGAAAAATCAATGTATCCATTTGTAAGATAGTTTGTAATTGGTGTTTTGTAGCCACTGTGTTGCATAAAGGGCTCAGACTTTTACTTTCCTCCTGTGGAAGAAATCATGAGTAAAAGACTTGTTGTCACGACATTGGTTACTGCTGGAAGGTGCGTGCATGGTTATTATCATCCGTATCATTATTAAGTAATGGTCCGAGTAAGAAGCAGGCAAGCAAACGGCAATGGAATGCATGAAGGTGCTAATTGTGTATTGTATAATCCATCCATCTCATTGGTTAAAACATTAAAATCTGAAATAATTTCAAAAGTAATCGCATTTTTTAATATTTTATTTAATATCTGACTCTAACTTCATAAAAGCTTTCCTTAGCTTTAATTTTAATAGCAATTCTATGTGGGGAACATAGCAAATTAGAAGCATCTTTTGGCTATTGTTTTGAGTGCTTATGATTGGACAAGATCTTTTAATACAAAAGAAACTTTGTTTCAAAACAGAGTTTATCTACATTTTATTTTAAAAATGTGTTACCCATAGGTTGATATAGAATCGATGTGAAAACCAAGACATTCGTATGTGGAGAAGTTGCAATTGCCGCAGAACAATAGAAGGTTGCCTGCTTTTTGCGCGCATTGTTACTTAATATCATTGCCATTGTCATCAGCATCATTAGAGCGGATTTCGTATGAGTGGTGAACCAATTGGGCACTAGAATTTGGTTACAGTACGATTACGGTCACAGTACAGTACCATCCGTTTCCCACTCATACGAAATCCGCTCTATAATCATTATTACATCATCATTACAATCGTCAATTCAGTCATTCGTAAGAGACATGGGTGGCATTATAAAATTCGTTACCATTACAATATCAACAGTGGATTATTGCCTAACCTTGTCTGTTTTAATTCTAGACTTGTCTCAGCTGGAATACCTGATTGTCACTTTACTCACATCTTCATTGATGAAGCGGGACATAGTCTAGAACCTGAATGCTTAATCCCCCTGGCTGGACTTCTAAACACCGCGAATCYAGGAGGSGGTCAGCTTGTGTTGGCAGGGGACCCTCAACAACTTGGGCCTGTTTTAAGATCACCTTTAACCATCAAGGTAGCCTCTGTGTATGTTTTTCTTACAAAGAAATGATCTTTTATCATTGTTCATATCACATCCTAAACGTCATTGATACTATATCTATTCAGTATGGCTTGGGCATGTCTTTTTTGGAGAGACTGATGACCAAAACACCTCAGTACGGGCGCATTTTGGACGAAGAAGATGAAGAAGATGAGCTTGGAGAATACAATCCTTTAGTGCTGACCAAACTATTGAAAAATTACAGATCTCATCCAGCTATACTTGAGGTTGGTAAGACATTCATGTACTGAAATCCAATATTTGCTGTCCTGTTCGTGACCTTAGATTGCGTTACATCTTATGAAGGTGTTAGTCACGCAATCTATTGTAACACCTGTTTGTTCTCTTCATTTAGCTACCAAACGAGATGTTCTACGACGACGAACTTGAAGCATGCGCAAACGAGCTATATCGGTCATCTTTGTGTCAATGGAGCAGGCTACCAACGAAAGACTTCCCGATCATCTTTGAAGGCGTGAAAGGAAATGATCTTAGGGAGGGGAATAGCCCTTCATTCTTCAATCCAGAAGAAGCGGTTACAGTAGTGAAGTACGTCAAAGACTTACGAGATACTCGTGGAGTTAAAGTCTTGACAAAAGATATCGGCATAATATCACCTTACAGGAAACAGGTATGGAAAAACCTCTTGTTCAGACGTGTATTAGTTACTGCAGGATAAAATAGTGGTCGTCAAAACCCGTGAAATAAAATGCAGTTAAGTTAAGTTAAGTTTCACGGTTAATTGTACTTTTTAACTGAACAGGTGACAAAGATACGCAAACTTCTTAATTACGAAAACATCCATGACACTAAAGTAGGTTCAGTTGAAGAGTTCCAAGGACAGGAGCGTCGAGTTATCATTATATCGACCGTTCGAAGTACACTAGAGTATCTACAGATGGACGCACGGTTTAAACTTGGTTTCCTCAAAAATCCCAAGGTTAGAACTCACCTTGAACTTGCGTAAATCTTGCGTTTTATGATTCAATTTATCTTCGTCTTTGTGTTTTGCAGAGATTCAATGTTGCCATCACCAGAGCTCAAGCACTGCTCATCGTTATTGGTAATCCATTTGTGCTTTGTAAAGACAGCCATTGGGGAAGGTAAATACACGCTGCTGCTTGCTCGCTTAACCAATACTTCTGAATTTTACGTCGTAAAACTGCGCGAAAACGACATGTAAAGCAACAAAAAAGGGCTGACCCATTTCACTTTCCTTGAAAATACATTACTACTTGAAACAAGAGTGAATTACGTTGTAAAACTGTGCGCAACCAACATGTAACGCAACCAAAGGGTAGTGACCCATTTCACTTTCCTTGGAAATATTAACACTTGAAACAAAAGAGGATTTTACGCACGTTTTGGTAACGTTTTCGTATCAAACTTGCGCGATCTCGTTGCGGAATCTACCGACGCAATCCCAATTCTCAATTATGAAAAGAGACTTACTGAAACGTGTATGCCAAATGATAATTAGAAATGCCCTACTACAAATGATTCAACATTCAGGGACAGTTTTAACACGTTCTGTCTATCGTTAGGCTAATACAGTACTGTATAAAACACAAGGCGTATCGTGGATGTGATTTTAAAATTCCCGATGAGGAAGAGGAAGACCTGGTCAATAGACTCAAGCGCGTGCACCTGGGAACTAATGAAGACATTGAAAATCTTAGCCAAGAACTAGATCCMGCGCCGGTCATTTCAGAAGAGCAGCCCTGGTATCGACCAGAAGAACAGTAGCAGTGCATTGTGGGAAAACTATTTATGGTCTTTTTATCCAATGTTTTTATGAAAAAAAATATTTTAAAATTTTTTATTTTCAAAATCCTGAGTTCTAAGTTATCAAAAAAAGAAACTTTTAATGCATTATCGCTGGGAATACTTATCAAACATGCAAATTATTAGGATCACTTTTMACAAGAGACGAATGAACAGAGTGACGCCATTTGTGCGACAAAACATGATGGGAAACGTACTCCTGGCACTGCTTTTCTAACCTTTAAATAACAAATGATGTTGTCCTCACAGAAACAGCACATCTACTTTCATTTTTACAAGGAATAAGCAAAAATCGCATTGGGGGATTTTTTTAGGGGAAATAAGAAGTGCTAGCACTCCATTTCCCATCATGTGCGTCGCTGCTTTCTTTATTATCATCTCTTGTTCGCTTATGAAAAGTGCTTCTTTTTAAAAGAAACACTTAACGTTTAGTGAACTCATGTACTCCTACTTAAACACATTTTCGTCATAGAATACACACAAAAACATAACCTAGGGTAGCTTYTAATTCATCTTATTCGATTTTAATATATGTGGTCGGATTCAGACACTCACCATATAGCGAGATAGCCAGGGACTGCCTTGCACATTTCTTAAAGAGGTGTTTTATCAAATGTATGAAATAACAGACAATAAAGTCTTTAAAATCTCATACAATTGCTGTATTACTTTAATAATAATTTATTGTCATTATTCATTGTACTTTTCGGTGCTCRTAAAACCATCTTGCGATGTTGACAAATGCGTCACTTTCAGTTTCTACTTTGTTCAACGGATGGCTATCCTCTGGATAAACTAGAAGCCTGCCACASAAACCAACAAARATGGTAATTATGTCAATAATTGTAATGCAATACGATCGTTAAATATAATCTTAAGGGACCCGGATCTTTGGCATCTCAAAAAGTCACGGCTTTTATGGCAAAAAAATGGATTATCAGGTTCTGAATCGATGCGTAAAATCAAAATCACGTTGAAGCGCACGTCACGTTGAGTGAACATCCTCAGAGTTGGAGGCATAGCAAAAAACATACTGTTCTACTAAAAACTCACCTAACTTCTACTCCCCTCGCTTTCAAAGTGCGGTACAATTCTTTCCCTTGAGAGGGAGGGACGCGCAAATCAACCGCACCAAGCATCAACAATGTTGGAGTGATAATCTGAAATTATATCAACAAACAAATGTCAACTCGTTCAGGAAATGCTTGATATATAAAGACGTGATGCAGCCGTACTATACGCACCTTTAACATAAGCAAATACATGTGAAACGGCATGTGTAGTTAGATTTAGGGGACAAGGGTTGGATTAATTCCAACCCCCCGACCCTTCCGCTCGCGCAAGGTACGCATGCTAAAGGCGACAACGAATGGCGACATACCTTTTTCGCGTGACTTATAGGGCTACATTCAAGTAGTTTGGAGTACGTATCGGCGTCAGTTAAAAGTTCTGGGTTAAAATATAATCCAGATTCCTCGAATATCCTGGAAAATGAATGATAATTAAAGGAAGAACATGAATGGACTGGATACTGCAGTAATGGAGCATATGAACGTACGGATGAATGAATGAATGCATAAAAGAAACGAATGAATGATTTTAAGAAGAAATGAAAGGATTAATAAATGAATGAAGGTCTAAATGAATGAAAGGACAGGCAAATAAACGGAGGAATGAATAAAAGGGTGGATGAATGAAAGATGAATATCAATGGCTGATACAAAACGCTCACCAGTCTGGAATGTCAGACGTCCCTAACATAGCTGCAAAAARTGGAATGGAAAAACAATCGTAAATCGCAAAAAAAGAAAAAAAGGTCCATTTGTTTTCTTTTTCTACTCACAAAGTAAGTTGACAACGGGATTTCGTGTGGCCATAGCGCGAAAAAAATCCTACAATCAAATCATGTATGTTAAATTAACGATGACAAATCGTGCTGATGATAAACTATAAAGATTTCTATCATTTATGAAGTGAATTGGCATTGATTCACTATTAAAACATACAATATTAGAAGTACGAACGTTTTGAGAATATAACTTACAGGAAACTGTCCTACAAGATGGCAAGCTAGAAACCCGCCATGAGAACCACCCATTACAAACACATTCTCTCGATTGTATTCTCCTCTTTTAAGAATTGTATCAACTGCGAACTGAAATCATAAAGAGATGAATTCATGCAAAGAAGTCTAATGTAAAGATAATGAAGAAAATAATAGTTTACCTTGACTTCGTTCACATCTTGTGTTCCAATATTACTAATCAGAGACTCTAATGGTTGCTGCCCAAATCCTAATGACCCTCTGTAATTTACTACAAAACAGTGTTTATTCAAATCCATTAAATAACTTGAAATTTTCTTTGATTGTACATTAGTCTTGTTGACATTGACAGAATAAATTGTAAATTGTGTTTTTTTTTTCTAAGCAGTTTTTCATTTCCCATATTTTCTCCCTTTCTTGTTTCTTTCATTCCCATCARGTCATTGAAACATTTTAGTTTTCAAACTGCTAGACATACCTGACAATACAGCATAACCAAGCCTACAAAACACTGCAAACTCATTCATAAAATTTGAAGGATAGCATGAGTGTGGTCCACCATGCGCATGTAGAATGATATCTGGCTTGGTTTTACCATTGGAAGGYTGAATTARAACTGCTTCATACTCCTTGTCTGAGTCTTCTGACCAATAAGAATAAAAACTCATTAGAAACAAGTGATAATATGTAGCAGTATGTTGTCATTGTTGTTTATCTTGTCCGCAGCCTTACTCCATACATTGCTCAAATAAACTGCATGTACATACATCCTGTCTGCTCAAAAGTGTCCTACCTTGAGTGTCATACGTCAGTTTTATAATTTCCCATTTAACATCAATTGCATCTTGTCCCGCTGAAGAAAAATAGATSAGTCCAAAATGTTGTTAACTGTAAAACAGCATTACAGGATCACAAAGGTGTCCGCATGATCAATGGTTAGTCTAGATTTCTTTTTTTAATTTTTGACTTTCAAAGGGGGGTCATGGTCACCCTGTAATCCCCCTAAAAATGATGCCCATATTTGGTGTCCATGTACCTATGACTGTCCAATCAACAGCTTCACCATGTTTAGGTATTGGAGCCATCACCTGAGAAGAATCAAACACAACATATTAATCATCGTTGATGATAATATTTGATGGGAATATTTGATGAGAATGTTTACAATGAAATGCACAAACCAGTCTTTGAGGTTGACTTGGAGAACTAAAAGAAGCCAATATAAAGTCCTTGTGAACATCTAGCACATTCCAGCAGCCACTTTCTGAAATATTACACCATAGGCATGACTAAGAACTCTAATCACTCAGTAATTTTTGATAATTAATAATCATCTGTAATGATTCATCCATCTATTCATTTTCATAATAATTATTCATTAATCAAACAATTCAAATGTTCTATAAATCATCAATCCATTTTTCTATCTATTCATCCATTCATGCATTTTTTCATTCATTCATTTATTTGTCCATCCATCCATTCACTTAATTTCTCAGTAGATGATACAATGCTGTTCAGATATGTAGACTACTMTCTTCTTTCAACTTGTGACTATAAACTTGTAACTGTTACAAATTAATTTAAGTGATTATCATCATCATCATCATAATTAATGAATCAATATGATGATGATTACACCTCCATTGATCTTTGATGGATGCCTCACCTTTTGTGCAATGGGCGACTGATTTTGACGGTAAATCAACAATTAAAATTTTCTGCAAAGAAAAAAATCAAAGACTTAGAATCAATCAACAAAAAAAGTCTGGCATGCAATTATTTTTGGCTAACATACCATACTACTTCTCCAGAAACTACTTAAAACAACCTTGGTACCATCAGTACTCCAGCATCTCGTTGGAAATCCCATTGTAAAGATACCAGGAAAACCATTATCTGTAAACAGGGTTTCTGGAATTATGGGCGAAAAAAATCAAAATTATGCGGGATTATGCGCRAAATTATGCGCGATGACGTCATCGCTTAAAACCTAAATTATGCCTAATTCGGATTAGGAAACTCAGTTATTTTGTGCACTGTAAACTCTTGGCTATTGACAGCCAAGAGTTTACAGTGCAATGTGTAAAAGTGTGGCCACTTTTGCCACTATTTTGATATCTTACCCTCTGGTGTTTGCACTATATCGACGACCACAGAACTTGTCTTAGATTTCCAGTCAATCTTGAAACATAAATGACACAATCATCAATAATTTAATCTAATTTATAGCCGTCATACTGCAGCCTTAATATAAAATTCATTGGAGGCACAAGAAAAGGTGCTAGGGAGAGTAAATTAGTTTATATTAGCTTACCTCTATGAGTTCAGTGCAAGACTTGTGTACTCCTTTTTCATTCCTAGCAAGATATATCTACATGTATACAATGAAATCATTAAACATTATTACAACAGTCTGGCATGCCTTCATTATTGCCTAACTGCTGTCTAATGCAATGACAGAATGATGTATTTGGTATCACAGCAACCATCTTGGAGGAACTTTAACAAAGGATTTCTCATTTTAGTATCTATTGTTCATTCCTCAAACATGGCTGCCAGTCTTTTATCTCTTGGATCTCATGGGAATTATTGAAAATGATTCATTGACATATGTCCTGTATCAATTAGTTTATTATGAACTACTGCCATGTAGATTTCATACCAATTTGTCCATGCTCAGGTTGAAATTTGGTGAAAAAACTGCATCTCCTTCTTTGCTTAGTTGTTCTGGTATTAATAAAAATATATTGCAATAAACACTCCTGAGTTTTTGGGAAAGAAAATGAAACATTCAACATGAAAACTCACCAAAGTCACTACCATCCAAGGAAACATAGAAAATACCACTTCTACARTTTAAATAAAAGTATATCAATGATGTGCCAACAAGCAGTCAACATTTTTAGCTTAAGTACAATGTGACGGTTTCAAACAATCACTTGCTTCTGTGAGTTTTTCATATCAAAAAGCATTTTACCTCCTGTTAGTGCAGTATACCAAGCCCAACCTGTATGGAACATGCCACCATCCACAGAAAACTACACCCTTTTCCTCTGGAGCCCACACTGCCTAAAATCAATCCAAGGTATAAGCTAAAACTAAAGCAAAATGGTGGAAACTATCGGTAAACTAATGTGAGCTGCGTCTGTGTTTCTAGAGAAACAGTTGTGCAAAAAGATAATATTAAATTTAACACTGAAAAAAATAGGTGACTCTTTACTCCGACGAAGGAAGTCCAAAACGTCAATATAAGTTGTTTTGACACCGTCCTATCTTTTTTTTACTAAAAGCTCATATTACAGTATATATAGGCAGCAAAGTTAATAGTTAACAATGAACTTCTTAAGCTTCACAGGCAGGCATGGAGTATGTTTTCCTTTTTCTTGAGTCGATCTCCTTTGTGGACTTGGGAAGGACAGGAAGCCCAACACTGTGAGAGGGCTTGAATAACTTAACTATCTATTTAAAAGATATTATTACCTGACCAACTGACAATTCCTCAGGAATTCCATCAATAACTGTTACATTATCTGTTGATATGTTGAGAACTACAAGCACTGGATGACACCGCTTGACAAGAAGTTCCCCCCAGTTTTCTTCATACTCGTATTTATCCCCCTGAAAACATATATCGTGACAAGTTAATTTGAATTAATATAAAACCAACCAATTTAAGTTAAAAAGGTCAGTACTCACCTTTTTGGCTGGTGGTTTTGATGATTCTTTATCTAGAAAATGTGATTCAACGATATGAAGCAAGAATAAAAAATACATTCTTCCATACATATTATAGATATTTTTTTGATCAAAGATCTTTTTTAAATTATTATTATTATAAAGAAAATGAGATTTTAAAGTAACCTTCTTCAGTATTTCCAAAGTACAAAGCACTTTTCTCCTTCTTCTTTTCAGCTACGTAAAGAAGTTGTTCTTCAGATGGAGACCACTGCATGCTACTGAACTGGGCTGGAATAAGATATTACGATGGTAAACAAAACAAACAAAATCTGAAAAAAATACAACTTTTAAACTCTTACAAACAGAACTTTTAAAAAACAGGCAAACAAAGGAATGCAAGAGTAGATGTAAGTAATATTTAAATTTGATAGATTAACACAACTAGATCAAACTCACAGTCTTCACAGATGTCTCCATGTTTATCAAGAGCCTTGATATCAAAGCATTTTATCATGTTATGGCATGACCAGATCTGTATAGATAATAAATAGCAAAGGTAACGTAAACAGTGTATTTTTGTAATTCTCACTCATTCATTCATCTATTTATATCATTCATCCATTTATTCAACCATCCTTGCATCAGACCAGTTCATTGATCTTTCAATGATTATCTATCAATCAATCCATCTCRCACTAAAAAGAGGTTTTCTAAGATGTTGCTGTAGGGCGACTTCAAGATTGCCCTCTGGTTAAGGGGTGCAGGGTATGTCCTGAATTTGCCTATCCAAATACATTCAAAATCTTAACCTCCAAATATTGCTTTTCCTCATCTTTCTTTGTAGCAGGTATTTTCTTTACCACAGCTTGAAACTTTCCTGACGGCGATGTACTTGAAAGTTGACTGAGATCAAAATATAAAGAAGGGATGTAATAGTTTGTCTTTTATGCATTCTTTTGAGTATGAGAAAAACTTGTCAAACTACATTATACATACACATGTTGCAGCTCAACAGGAAATGATGGTTCCTGGACAGGCCCTAATTTTCTAGGATCTCTATCACATGTCACAATATGGTTCCTTTGAAATGCTCTATTTTCTAATCTGACTAGATCCCTTTGACTCCACTGTGATGTGACACTTGCATCAATCTTTCCTTTATCTTGCTGATTCTCAGTAAAGTACAAACAGCCCTTGCTTATTGTAGGGATATTGCAAAGGTCTTTGAACAGTTTTGTGGTATTTTGGATGTACTCCTGGATTTCAAAAGTCACAAAAAAAATCATAATTTGTTTATTAAGCTGGCATAGCTGATTGAGATATTCCTACTTACCTCTGTTTCATTTGAAGACATTTTTAACCGAGAGTTAGAATTCTTATATCTTTACAATGGACCTTATACCTTTTACCGCTCTTCGTACCGTCACAATAGTCAGCTGATAGGACTGGGCACTACTATTACTTGCTCAAGATCTAAAAATAAAACGATTAATTTAAATGTGAGTCTTTAAGGTTTAAATGCTTCCCAACTGGATGTTTCTAATCAAAAACTCAAAACAGTATCATTATTTTACACTATGAAATAAAAAAATACTATCTTCGCATTTGGGCTTCCTGTGGTGTAACCGCTGACATACTMCTTGCTGATTTACCCATAAGTCCTCGCGATAACCAGCCTCTGATCGTTGTTCGAAAAGAAATTTTACAAGAAGGAAGTTTCCTTCAAAAAATCGTTAAAGGGGCCATTGTAAACTTCATATTATTTAAACATGAGTGCGGGACTTCCTAGAAGAATCACTAAGGTATAAAATTGACGAAAATGTTTGTAATTTTAAAGCCACTATAAGTGATGTCACCGAGTGTTCAAGGTGTCTTTGGAATCTGTGTCTGTCTTTTTAATAGGAAACACAACGATTGATGAACGAACCCGTGGACGGGATAACAGCTCTTCCAGACGAGCATAATGCAAGATACTTTCATGTAGATGTCAATGGGCCATCAGATGTAAGTAAAGTGTACATTTGTGTTTGAAAAATTGAATATTGCGAAGCATCTTTACAGGGCACCCTAGACTTGAAGTCAGTTAAGGTTACTGGTATCTAACTGAGATTTGTTTACTATATTTTCTTTATTCAGTCTCCGTTTGAAGGCGGAAGGTTTAAGTTGGAATTGTTTCTCCCTGAGGACTATCCAATGGCGCCTCCCAAAGTCCGATTTATGACAAAAATTTATCATCCTAACATTGATAAACTTGGAAGAATTTGTCTCGATATTTTGAAAGGTAGGACTACTTGTTAAACATTAATGCCATGATGATTGAGTTCGTTTTTCGCGATTTTTGTTATTTCTTATTTATTACATAGTATTTTAATCAAATTTAATGTTATTTCACTTGAAAGAGGTGATTTGTATAAAAAATGTAATGAACATTTTATTGGTACTTTAAATGTACATTTCGATATTTTTTAAATGTTCTTAAAATATTCAATTGCTTATAAGCAGAACTTTGAAGAGATTTGGTGGCCTACTGAGAAATGTTTACATTTGCTTTTGAAAGCTAAACAGGACAACTAACTATATGATTGTTCAAAAATTCACCCACTTGAATACATTTGCTTCTTATTTGTGTTTTAGTGGACAAGTTTTTAGAGTGCAAGTCACATAAGCATGAAACAATTCTTAACTATGTAGTGCTAAATAAGAATTAGTTATCAACTAACTAAGAATTGAGAACAATGGTACAAAGGAATTTAAATAATTGGCATTGTGTTTATGCTTTGTTGAATTCTTAGTTAGTTGATAACTAAATCTTATTTAGCAATACATATTAAGAATTGTTTCATGCTTATGTGACGTGCACTCTAATTCATGCAGTTTAGTAATAAATTAGCCTGTTTGTTTAGATAAATGGAGTCCTGCTCTTCAGATTCGTACTGTACTTCTGTCAATTCAAGCTCTCCTTAGTGCACCTAACCCAGATGATCCCTTAGCTAACGATGTTGCTGAGAAATGGAAAACAAATGAAATACARGCAATTGAAACAGGTAAGAACAGACTTCAAACAACTTGTCTGAGAAGGTAGAGGTTCCCTCTTCCAACACATACATAACACAATCAGTGAAATGGAAATAAAATGGAAATGAAAGCATCCCATTCGTTAAGAGTGATGTTAGCYTCAGGGAACTCTSTGWGACTTGMTAAAACAAATCATGTCAACATAATAGATTGAAAAACAAGATAATATTTTGTATATTTCAATTTCAGCGAGACTGTGGACAAGAAAATATGCACAGACACAGTGATTTCCAAGTGATATAAACCAAAACAGGGAGCCCACAAATGTTTTATATGGYCCATCCTTAATATTAGCACTGATTTACACTTCAATAAGAAACCGTTTTTACAGTGCAATATTCATTAAYTGAATAGCTTGATCACATCTAAAAACATGTCTGGCTCTCTCTGTAATAACCTTCTATTGTGATTAGGCCTATTTATATTGCTAAGCAATACAAGATTTGAAGGACATCAGACTTTACTATTAGGTGACTTTCTAAGATGGACACATATTGGATATTGAAGGTATAAAACTAATAACTACAATTATTGTATCAGAACTGGAAAAAAAATCTCAATCTTATGGATAAAACTTTAATGCATAAAATAATCCACCATATAGCCATTTAGAGTTAGAAAAACAGAAATTCATATAAGTTTGAATGTCCATCTTAGAGGGCACCATGTAATTTTGCTTTGTTTGTAAATTTGTATCTCAGTCAGTAGTTCAAAAAGTCTTGTGTCAAGGCCCTTTGTAAACTGTCCAAATAAAAAGTTATAATACATGTACCAAACAGAATGACATTCTTAGTTGCTTGAGGTTTTGAACTCTTTAATATAGTTATCCAACTGAAGACAGGCAAATGGAAACTGTGAGCATAAAATACTGGTGTTTGTTGTCCCCTAGAGCCGCTACGCAGGCTAGCTGTTAATGATTACACACAGGCAGAATACATGTGTTGCTGAAGTTAAAAATTTGTATTAAATAGGAAGTTATAAGTTATTATTATACAGCTTTTGCCTCTATAAGCTGTTTGTTTTTCATTCTAGTGTTTTTTGTTTTGCTTTGAGCTTGTTTGTTTTGGATAAATCTTTGATTATGCTAGTTTCTCTTATAGTTATACTATATTCCCCAACTTTTTAAAGTCATCTTTGGATTCTTAAGAACTGTTCAATGTGTTGTTTTACAGCCTCCACATCATTACTGCACACATTGTCATGTATCTCAGGTTTTGTCATTGCGTCTGCAAGATGCTTGTGCAGTKGTGGGCGTGGCTCAAGGTGGTGCACTTCTTGCATTAAAGTCAGGGGGTCACTTGAGCTGTATTTGTTACTTAAAGCCTTCAGCACATTGTCAGCAAACTTGCAATGGTGTGCAGTTGCTGAGACAATCATTGGTTTGTCATGAGAGATAAAATTATCTGCTACACTTTTAGCAATAGCTGTATGTGGGTCTAGTAAGTATCCTGTTTGGTTGAAAACTGTTTTGATTGTAGTTAGACAAGTGTGTTCATCACTCCAGCCTGACTTGATAGTTGATGAGAGAGTTTGGTGAAGTTTTGATTCAACCTAATAAAGAATGCATTAAAATATCAATTAACATGGATTCATTACTAAGGTTTAACGTAGAAGTGCACAAAATACTTTACCTGGAATTTTTTATTAGTTTCCAATGAGCTGAAAAGTTGTGTAACCAATTCTGCATTGCATGACGTCACATGGTATATAAGCCTTTCAAGATTGGATGATTTGAAAATGTCGATGGATGGAGATGCAGTGYGGTGAAGATTTCTCTTGCAAATATCATAAATGCCATTGTGGAAGAACTCTGTCAAAACGTTATTGACATTGGACGCACAAATAATATTGTCGAAAGGGATTCCCATTTCCTGGGAAGAAAATGAAAGATATGAATTGATGGAAAGAATTTCAGCTTCAAATACTTTTAGAATAAATTTTGATAAATGGATGATAGAAATGTTAAAATCATTGCAATCAACATTCTCGTGATACAATCAAAAGAGTTCAAAATGCATGGTTAAAAAAGAAAGCGCTCTTTTTTTTTTCTTTTTTTGAGGAGTGAACATGGACTAGCAACCAAAGACCTTACCTTTGCATAATATGCACCCAGGATGTTACCAAAGTTTCCGGTTGGAACACAAACGTCTGCTTTCTCGCCAATACCAATGACACCATTTTTGACCAGATCGAGGTACGAAGACACGTGATAAATGACCTGGATATAAATGAAGAACACAATTTTTTGTTGTGTCAGCTCAAGGTGACTTCCTTGCTCAGAGTAGGTCTGGTCAGTATAGGCATTGTAAATCTTAATATTACATTAGTTCGTAGTTCATTTACCTGAGGGAGAAGTCTTCCCCAGTTGATTGAATTAGCTGCAGACAGCCTTACATTATACCTATCATGAAGTCGTTCACAAAACGAAATGTCATTGAAGATTTTCTTGATGGAAGATTGGCAGAAATCAAAGTCACCATCCACACCTAATACACCAGAGTTTTGGCTATCTGTAGTAATCATCTGCCTTCGTTGGATTGCACTAACACCATTTGAAGGGTAAAGAACAAAAACGTCTGCTGATTCACTATCTCGAAATCCTTCCAACACCGCACTGCCAGTATCTCCAGATGTAGCAACAAGTATCATGTACTTTATATCTTTATCGGATGATAAACTAACCGCCTTGTTGAAAAAAGATGGTGTTAGTTGAAGTGCAAGATCCTTGAACGATGCCGTTGGTCCGTGAAATAGTTCTAGGATGAAAACCTGTTCGTCCAGTTTTTCAACAGGTGCAATTCCCGGATGTTGAAAATTCGTCTGATAAGCATTGTCAATCATTTGTTTCAGAATAGATGGATGGAGATCAAGGGGATGAATCCACTGTTCTAGTATTCGAAGCGCTCGTTCTTGATAGGAGCATGGGACAAGACGTTCAATCTCACCTGAAAGTAGCAATTATGAGGCAATTCTATTCATAACGGAGTCATTATAAAAAGCACGTTCTGCAAAAAAACACACCCTGCAACATTTCCAAATTGTTTGTAGCAATCAAAAGAACTTTAATAAGTGTATTTCAAGGGTTTATGTAAACCTGTGCTGTATTGATTTTAGTGATTTGGACTAAAATCAAATAATTGATTAACAAATAGTAAAAAAGAACAATACCTAGAGTCATTCCTGGTATTTGTCGGCCAGGAACATACAGCCCACCATCTGTTGCTAATCCCTCAAGAACGACATCAAAGAAAGTCTTCTCTTTTATTGTGTCATTTTTGTAATGTCGTGTACTTACATAGACATCACGTTTAGCAAGGCGCTTGATGCAGTCAATCACTTTAGAAGTGATACTCTCAGGCGATTCATGTCTCTCGCAAGTAACACGCACATCATAACTACCTTCGTAAAATTGCTTTCTGTACTGAAGAATGTCGGAGACTGAAGTACCTGAAAATAAGTACATGAAAATAAATTTCTTTGCAGGTTTATACTTCAGGAGACACAGAGAGAACCAACTTCCAGATATGTTGTCCTTAAAACCAATAATACCTATATTGAAGCACAGTTGACTGACAGTCAATTACTGGCCATATTTTAACCCTTTCTACACCACAAATCTGGTCATGAATAAACTAACCATCATTTTGCCCAACAATTCTGTCAACTTTCATTTTCTCCAAGCGTTCCAAGATGTCATAATCGTCCACATCTAAATAAATGACAGTTCCTAGGGAACTGACATGTGACATGGCTAATTTATGCATGGGATTGGATCCAGAGAGGGAAATAACACAATTATCGCATGATAACTGAAGCAAAGCTTGGCCTTCTGCCTCTATAAAGCCATCTGACCCAACATCCATAAGCTGATGTGTACAAAAAGGATGAAGGTTAGTTGAATAAATCAATACATGAGATGGATGGTCAATTGAATAAATGGATGGTTGAATGGAAGGATGGAAAGTTTGAAAGGGTKGCAAAGGGTGGGTGAATGATGAAAGGAAGACAAGAAATAGATGGATATTTGAATGAATAAATGAATGAATAGATGAATGAATGAGAGGATATAGTGTGTTGCCCAAGGATTCAATGTGTTTGAATTCTGGTCTGTGGATAGGAACTAGTCCTTTGCAAGATGAACAGAGATCCCAAAGACAGGAAACATGACTACCATACTAACCTTTTGTGCCACAGTCATATTCCAGACTTTCTCCAGATGATCATTATCTACATCAATAGCTTGCTTCCCTAGACTTTGTGCCAGTAATCTACCAACTGTAGTCTTTCCTGCACCAGGGCTTCCCATTAGGACTATGTTGTCGCCTCTCTGTTCACAAACATAACAAAATAATGCAGGGACGTCAACTCTCCCGGATTTGCCAGGAGACTCCTGATTTCAGATCGAATCTCCCGGCCTCAAGATTTTAACCCTAAATCTCCCGGATATCACGATATTTTCATAGAATGATATTAATTAATAATCATCATTCTAGATTTTTATGTTCAAAGAAATCCTTCAATGAATTATGTCGCATTTCCTCGATCTTTTGATACGGAACAAAATAAAAACAGATGTTGCTTACGTATGCTTGCGAATTAAAAATATATAAACTGATTATGCAAAATAAAAAACAGAATATGACGTCATTTTGACGTCAAGAATGACGTCATTCACATGTTGTGACGTCATACACATAGGRGGGGTTGACATCCCTGAGAATGGGCTGCCTGTGGTAGAGCCTGCTTATACGCCGATTCAAGAATAGAAGTAGAAAGAAAAAAGAAAATAAAGGAAAGGGAAGTAATGCGATGCAAGCCAGTTGCATTTTTGWGCTCGTGTAAATTTGGGTCTCACGTTAATACAGGTATTCATGGTGCAAAGTTGCAAAAGCTTTTAAAACAAAGAAGTGCTTTGGAGATTTTCAACGTACACAAAGAAAGATGCAAGTTATCGATGAATTTTCTTTCTTTTTCTTTAGAATAGCTTACCTTTGAACTGTACCATCTCAAGGTGCCACACGCGAGTAGACGATWCCATTGAAAATGACGACTAGTCCATTTGTGTTTCAAAAAACTTACCCCATGGACTCGTAAAATACTCAAAACGCTACTCCTGTACATTAACATCTTGTAAATGCTTAGTATTATTGAATCTTCATTCTACTTCTTCGATAAAATTACCAGAAACCCTGCCGCCGGTTGCCAACTCACTATTTGTAGACAGGAAACCCAAGCCCAATGTTTATTACAAAGCACAGGGAGCCCAAAATCATTCATCCAAAGAGCGCAGTAACTGTACTAACTGTTTTTACATCTCAGATAAACATAATTGCTAGCCTAAATATAAGGGTTTCCTGTGATATTATTGACAACCTTTTACAAATCACTTATTTTATTTCCATTCATTATTGACAACTKTTTACAAATCACTTATTTTATTTCCATTCAATATTGTTTTAAAAAATTAGTTGTCTTTATATTAATTTCCAAAATAGTAGTTTGTAGGAACAAATGGCATTTTTACAACTTTTGTAGTAATTTTTTTCTTGTAGACTTCTAGTTGAAGAGGTGTTCCRAWTTTGGCTTTGCTTGCATCAACATAYGCCATKGCAATGTTCTGTTTTAAGCTTGGAGAAGGACAACCACTAGTCACTTGACCTATTAAAATATATTGGATAGATGATTATAAAATGATCATCAGTTAATGAAAGAATGATATATGAATTAACAGATATATGAATAAATGGGAGATTAGAAAGATCACAATAAAATGGACAGGAAGCCCAATGAGAGGTGTTGGTTCAAAGGTGAATATTGTTGTTGTACATTGAATAATTTTGAACTTAAATTTTGTACTCACCAACAGTGTTACCTTCCTCATCAAGGACCTTTGTCCCTCCTTGAATTTTAAYYAAACTTTGGTTAGTATTTTAAAGGCTTTATTAGTCATTGTTAAGTTTGAAATGTTGTACCTCTAGCTGGGGCAYCAGTAGAAATTAGTCCTATTCTCTTGCGCTTTGGTTTGTCTTTGATTTGCTTTAAAATGACTTCAGCACCTGGAAAGTCTCTTGATTGTCTTCTCCTTTTTCCTTTAATGACATTAAACAGTTACCGTGAAATCACTCACTTATTAAGTCACTGCTTAACAAAGGTTGGCAGCAGAATAATAAGTATTTGCATAATACCTATTGTCCATACTAGTACCGCCTCAGATGGAGTAGTATCTTCATCAATATCATTGCCATATAAACATAAACCAGCCTCTAAGCGAAGGGTATCCCGTGCACCAAGACCAGCGAGYTGCACCTCTACTTCCTGGTTTTTCATGAGGTRGTTACATAGGTCAACTGTACGATCTTTGTCAACAGAAAGCTGGAATGAAAAATAGAAATGATTTYAGTAAATAWATTTATTCAGGAACTTGCAAACTGACTTCATTTACCTCAAAACCATCTTCTCCTGTATAACCACATCTGGTGATCCTAACATCTTTGATTCCAAACACCTCWGCAGTGACGCCATTCATGAAAGTCAACTGAGATATATCCCCTTCTACACCACCCTGGAGAACCTTTGCAGCTTTAGGACCTGAAAAATACACCATGACTTTTATAGATAGAAGATTTTGACAAAGTTTGTTTATGGTGCTCAGAGAATGCTAGGAAACACAGGAAGCCCAATAAAAGAAACAGAATTGACAAATACCTTGCAATGCAATAAGGCCTTTATCCTCTAATAATTCAAGTGCAACATCTTSACTACTTGAAACATTGTTAAGTCTGTCCTGAAGTAAGTTCACAAATATTAAYAGGAATGAATTTACTGCCAACATTACACTACTTACAAAGATGTATTTTAATTAAGATCAAAACAAAGTTTTAAGTCTGCTTTCTTACAGTAGCCCTGCYAAAAGTGACTTTCTCTTCTCTCCCTCAAAAGCCCTTTGGYATGTGAGACCATGAGACTGTCAGTAGTATCTGYTGCATGTACCCTGCGAGCAGAGTGTATTTTCGTAGGGTATGCTGCATGGTGCTGTTTTATAGAATTTTTGCACACTGAATAAACAGTTAAACTTTGAAAACTTACTATCAAGTGTGCTGTAATCTTATCTGCACATCCAGCATTAGAAACAACATACAGCTCATCRGSTTTTTTATTWATAATCAAGTCATCTTTAATTCCACCATTTTCATTGGTAAATAATGACAATGTCCCAGTGTTTTCTGCAAGACCTTCAATGTCTGCTACTACAAGACTCTCCAAAAACTTTACTCTATCCTTGCCAAGCAGTTTAAATTGCAACATGTGCGAGACATCAAAAATTGCTGCATGCTCACGGACATGAAGATGGGATTTAATGACACCTTCACGATACTGGACAGGCATGGACCATCCACAAAAAGGGACCATTTTTGCACCATGCTCAAGATGGAAATCATGGAGAACAGTTTTCTTTAGCTCCTCCTAYAAAACAAAAAGTCATCTTAAAGATGAAAGATGCATACTGTTACTATGAGCAATGTTCTCAGATACAGAGAAAATTGAAGTGTGTACGGCTATAATTTTCTTACAAACTTGTTTGGCAAGATTACAGTGTCATATAAGCTTATCACACTGCCTTGACAGAATTATAACATAACACAATTTATCTAAAGTTCTAGAAAACATTATTAGTAATAGTTGAAGAAGCTTTGAATGTATTTCTTGGCGTTAAAKTAAGTTACCTTATTTCCAGTTGCAAGTTCTCTTTTTGAAGCCAACAATGTCGAACAGCTGAKCCGGTGGGCAGTCCCACGTCCAAATGTATGCCATAGCCCCCTTGAATTTCTTATTGGCCTTAGAAAAGCACTCATATTTCTTTAAGATGCGGTCATTCACGGAAATTATAGAAAATTATAATATCCAAAGCAAAAAATGCTGCAATCTTGGGGAAAAACCGCCTGTTTTTAAAATGTTTTCCCAAGTCTGAGCACGCAAGCAGTCAGCGGTATTTATAAGGCGCATGTGCAGTAACGCGGCTTCGCATGGGCGCGAGAAAGGAATAAAATCATCCGAATATTCAAGAAAGGGAAACGCAGTGGTAAAATCGCCTGAAAATGCTCTATTTAGAGGACTTCTTAGAACGTACGTATCGTAGTAGGCTGCATTACTTATCCTTCTAAGTAATGATGTGGTATTTTTCCATATTTCAATACAGATTTGTTAATTTCGAGACGAACTTTTGAAAGCCGTAATGGCGGTAACGCCATTGTTTCTTTGCGGGGGGTATAATGGCCAAATGTAAAATCTGCGTTTCTGTGATCAATTTTTAAGCAACACTAAAGCTGTGTTTGGTAATTTCAAGACGCCAGCTTCTATCGAAAGTTCTGAATTGAAAATATATGAAATTCTTTATTTTTCAAAGTTTGTTTCGCTATATTTTACGTGTCATGCGCAATGATCGAAGCGACGCGCGAAAGACCGACAGGACAATTCCGTACATTTCCGTCTAAATTCGTAATTTCTAGATCTTATGTTTTAAAAAAACTTAGTAAGATAGCATGCAAGATATTTATTCTTTAGGTTCCATTGCAGTAGGTTCTTGTTTTGCCTGCATTTTTCCAAATAACGTTATTTTTCCGAAAGAATAAAATCCAAAATGGTGGATGCTAGAAGTCACGTGACCCAAAAGTCACATTCAGGGAGGGTTAAGACGTTTCGTCAAAATGCAATGAAATTTCTCGCATTTCAATTTTCTCTATCARATAAAAATTTATTATAATATAAAAAGGCAAATAAAAAATAAATGCTTTGTAAATGCTATTCCAAAATTATAAAGTAGCTTAAATAATAGGATTGAGTTCAATCATCAGTTCAAATATTTCTGATGGATGGAGATACAAATTAATCACTGTTGGGACAATTGTCTGTTGTAGAAAGGGTATTTAACTTTGAAATGTTGAAATTTATGAAGTATTATAAATTATAATAATTACAAAAAAATACAATGCAACTGGATAACTCCCATACATTGGTTTTTAAACTGACTTTGTCTTTTACTTTTTACCCAGTTATTGAACAACTACCATTAGAACTTAGAGAAAGATTTACAGAAATGAGAGAACTTGACTTGCAAGTGCAAAGTAAGTTGGTAAAATTGATGTTAATATTTATATTTATGCTTGAAATTAAATATAACATTATTTGTTGAGACTGCTGTGACTATAATGAATTTCACACTATCAAATAATTTATTAAGATTCACTATAAGATAAGGGCATAGTTTTTGGGTTTCCTGTGGTAAATCTAACACAGGGAACCCAAACAAAAGAGATTAACTTTGTTTTTTTTAATCTTTTTAGATTCAATTGATGATTTAGATATTAGAGTAAAACAATTTTTCATGAACTGTCGTAAAGCTAAACCTGAATGGAAAGAGCAGCAATACAAACAGATTAAGGAGGTAAGAAAACTTAGAGATATATTTTTACTGAAATGTAAAGTTCAATTGCCTGATTTCATTCATTCTTAACTTCACAGGAATATCAAAAATCTATGGAAGATGCAGATGAGAAAGTTCTTGCAGCTTCTCAAATATATGACCTTGTAAGTTGATAAATATYAGGATATTTAGTGCTTTTTTCATTGGTGTTTTTTATCCAGTCATAAAGTTGAGTTATAGTTTCGGTTAACACTCTCTAATTCTTTTAATTTGACAGGTTGATAAACACCTTAGAAAACTAGACCAAGAATTAACCAAATTTAAAATGGAATTAGAGGCTGACAATGCGGGGATAACAGAAATATTGGAACAAAGTAATGATATCMTGTCTTATTATATTCTAAAATGTTACATCATGATTAATAATATTATATTATTGTTTGATATTTTTAGGATCGTTAAGACTAGATGAACCTATCGCTTGTCCTTCACCAGTTCGCAATAATCATTTAACGTCAGCATTTAATTCTCAAAGTAAGTGCCTTCCTTCACAATAAATAGTCCTGTTTATAAAAACAAAAATTTTAGTTTCCTGATAATTTAACTATTAATTTATTATTAAAGTCACTTGTTATTTCCTCCACAGAACGTAAATATAATCAAGTAGATGTCGTTAGCAATGATTTAACTAATGGTGACCATGGATTATTAATGCCGACTAGTTACTCTAGCTATAGTCCCTTAAGTTCCTATCCTCCAATGTCACCTTCACCAAAAGTGTCTACTCCACAATCTCCATCACCGTCAACCTCGCTAACACTTGGTGAGTAATTACAGGTTAATTCACAATTTAGTCATTAAAACATACTGACAATTGTTCTCCCTTGTTAGGTATGCTTGGAGCAGGATCAACAGCTTCAGGATACTCATTAACTAATACTATGCAGCCAAACAGACGAGTAGGAAGTGCACTGAAAACACCTTACAGCACAAGCTCATTCAAAGGCAATACAGACTATCTAGGTACAACTCCCCATGTTGTCAACCTGTATCCAGGGGGGGTTATTACCTCCCCAACTTGGGTGGGGGTGTGCCCCATGACCCTCAAAACCCTTACCCTATCCCAGACCAATTTTTGTGATTTTACATACCCTACCACAGACTAACCTGTATAAAGAATTATTTTTTTATTCTTACACTGGCATCATGTGCAATGCCCTTTGTTCACATGCACAGTGCAATTCTTTTCATTAATGTATCTTATAAATTGACTATTAATCATGAAATGTGTAATGTTATTGCAGGTGGCCTTGGAGGAATACCCAGTAGTAGTTCAACAGGTAGTCTTAATGGGTTACCTGCTGGTAGTTACGACACCCCAACACCTGCCATACCACCATCATTAACCATGCCAGTAACACCTGTTGAACCCCAAACACAATTAACAGTGCCGACCGCTACATCTCAAAAGAAATCTACTAAAAAGTGAGTTGATGCAAATAAAATGAGAAGACACCTGAACCAGTGAAACAAATAATACTGCAATGTAATTAGTAATAAATAATGTTAAAAGTTTCGTACTAAGTGCTACTTCAATCACAATAGTATACTTCCTGTCCATCTAAAGTCACTGGGTTTTGCTGCTCTGTGTATAATGGTAAATGTGGTTATTTTCTTTAGGAAGAACCTGGCATCACAGTTAGTTAGCACTGCTACGGCATCAGCTCAAGTTGCAGCACAGGATGCAGCCAAAGCAACTGAGGCAGTACCCGATTTCTTTTATGATCCAGATGAACCTAGATATTGCCTTTGCAATCAGGTTTGTTAGCAATTTTGTTAGCATTAAACTTTAATATTATTAGAAATTAAAAATATAGAATGTATTAATTTATTATTAAAAATTAATAAAATCTTCATTATTCACAGGTTTCTTATGGTGAGATGGTTGGTTGTGACAACAACGATGTAAGTTTTTGGGTTTTGTTCATTATTATTCATCAGCTTGATATTCACTCTAGTTTTGTTTTGCAGTGTCCTATAGAATGGTTTCATTACGGCTGCGTTGGCCTTACAGATGCTCCAAAAGGCAAATGGTACTGCCCACAATGTGCATCTCAAATAAAACAGAAAAGAAGTAGACACAAGTGAACAAGAAAATGACTTCTAATTTTGGGAATACAAATTTGAAATCGTAATTTTTCCTCATTTTCATGTAAATTCAATAATCCATGCATAGCCATCATTTTATGGTGTTAAAAACAGTTTTCAACAATGTCCAGGAAGAAATTATACGGGAAAACCAAGGAGAAGAGAAAGCATTTCCTTACTTAATTCAAGAAATTTCATTATAGTTGTGTGACTACACTAATCAAAGCCACCAATGCAAATTTTCATTGAAAAACATCATGAACAACACGAACATTGTTTTAAGTTAATCCAATGCAAATTCTGATGAATAATTTGTGGAAGCATTTGTTGTGGTGGTTTTGATTAGTGTATCAGTTACACTGTTACATTTCAAAGCAAAATACACACTAATGTACATTATGTCAAAGGTTTGATAGAGAATCAGATCCACTAGTCAATGTGTCTATTGTCAGACAAAACATAAAATTCATTCAAACTTATTAATTAGTGCTACTAAGTCTCAGTCAAAGTGTAAATACTTTTTACTGTTGCTCAATGAAACACTGATTATTATGCTGGAATAACCTTTTGTTAAGAGCTCACGTTATTGTAAAATGTACAAAATGCAAATCAGCTTCATAGGGTCCTTTCAGATCAGTGGTATTTAGTCTGTAAGGTAATTTTGTCCCTTATTCAGTGTAACCAATTCTTCCTATACGTGCCTGATGTTAAAATCCCTATTAACTTCCATCATTCAGGAAGCCAATATATAACAAGAAACAAGTACAGGCTAGATAATTACTTAATCTGTGAAACAAATAGTAATAATTGAACAACTGAATAGCAGTTTTGTTTGCACATTAGGAAACAAAGGAATTTTCTGTTTTTATTTTCTGTTTCATAGATTAAGTATTATGTGCAGTTAACAAAATGTTGTAAAAAGTTATTCAATAAGTTGATGTTATTAATGAAAGGAGGTATTTTTCATGGGAGAAATGAAAAGATATTTCATTGTACAAGAATTGCTATTTGTATATTTGTATAATGTAGATTTTAATAAATTATTGATAATTTTTTTTAGTTTGATTTAATCCACAGTTTATATTTGTATAAAATTTTTGATATATAATGCACGCTCTGATTGGCTGACGACCGTGTTTCTATCAGAGGACAGAGACATAGCTTACCGGCAAAATTTTCTTTTCGCTCGAAAAATTTTATAAAAAAAATATAAAACGGCCACTTTTGTCTCTGTCTTCTGATATAAACACAGTGGGAGTCGAAAAACACCCGAGAAGCAAGAGAGACATTCACTACGCTCGTGTTCCTAAGCTTGCTTCTCTCGTGTTTTTCAAACTCCCACCGTGTTTATATCAGAGGACAGAGACGTTTTATATTTCTTAATTTTAGTATTTAAAAATACACCTAGTGAAAACAAACAAACAAAAAGATAAAAATAATTTAATAAATATCCACAATTTCTATACTTTAAATACACCTAAAAGTCCTAAAAATAGTTTCACCACATTTGAACATTTTTGTTAAACATTTGCCCCTATGCTTCGCCACACTAACTTTCATTTTATAAAATTTAAATACACCTCATGAATTCCTTCTTGCATGTACCTGGAAGGGCTGTAGATAGCTATCAATTAAACCTTTACAACACATCACCAATACCATCCTAAGGATAACATCACAGCCAAGGTTCATTGTTTGAAAGCCCGTTGAAGCAGGGATGGATCTTTAACATTGTTACGTTTTGTTATCTTAAGCTTAGGATTATCTTCCATAGCTCGGCAAATAGCATGATCTGCTTTTTCATTACCACTCCAATAGCGACGGGCAACCTGTGACAAAAAGAGTGATGTTGATTGCTGTTGTAGTTGGTCTAGTAGTGTGGTATAATTATAGCAATATTGTACATACCCCATTAGATACGTCCCATGAAAGCATCATTTCAGCACGTTTAGACATTTCCTACAATAATTGTTCATCAAACATCAATTGTCAGTACTATTTATTAAAGATCAAGTCGAGATTTCTTATTTAAACCCATCAGAAGATGCAAGATTTATATAGCAAATTTATTGATTGTCTCTTTTGCAATTCCCTGTGCCTTCGTTTGAGGCCTGACAACTGGTGTGTTCCCAGCAATAGAAACGTACTTCTGAAAAATTGTACTCTGGATATGAATGATGTTTCACTTTGATGAACACAGTCGCTTTTAATTTTCAAGTTTACAGAATTGCAAAGGAGACCATATGGAAAATAGACCTAAGGTGTGACACCATCATGTCCATATATAGATCTCTTTAGTTTGAACTACTTTTTAAAGGCCGATTTAGATGGCACAACTTTTGCCTACAACCATCGCATGCAATCTGCGTAAGTCATCCTTACAACATGTCTGCAACTGTCGTAGGGTTATTGAGCAATTGTTTTTAATCCCTACAACAGTTGTAGCCATGTCGTAAGGATGACTTACGCAGGTTGCATGCGATGGTTGTAGGCAAAAGTTGTGCCGTCTAAATCGGCCTTAACACACTTACAGGTGAACCATCCAACACCAAACCAAAGCCTCCATTTGTTACTTCACCCCTGCGAATACATAAAAACATTGACTTACAAACAGTCAATAATAATGTCAAATGAGGGAACCTACTACCATAATATAAATCTAGTGAATGATATTGTAGGTATTTCACAGAATAATATAGGATATATGCAATGATATACATACCATCCTACACCTCCACCATTGTGAATTGATACCCAGGTTGCACCTCTGAAGGAATCTCCAATAACATTTTGTATAGCCATGTCTATATAAACCAACAGAGTTCAAATGACAMACTGTCACACAAGCTAAGATTTTGTCATGCAATCATCATACAGTTTTCACACAGACTTGCAATGCATTTTTCTCACCTGCTGTAAGGCTGGAACCATCATAAACATTTGATGTTTCACGGAATGGACTGTCGGTACCACTAACATCATGATGRTCCCGACTGATGACAATACAGTCCTAATTAAATGCAATCAAAACCAAGTAAAAAATAGCCATTCCACCAAAAACATCAGCAGCCTTATAGAGATATTTTAAAGACTAAAAACTAATGAAGTCTTACACTTATCCTTTTATCTGCAATGGCTTTGTTAAAAGCTACAGCAATKGCAACCCTACCACGCCTATCAGCATACAGAATACGAGCCTGGGAACCAACGACCTGCAAGGGCACAATAATGTGATTGACAAAGTTGTACTTTCCTGGAATACTGATGTAAAAGAGTAACTGGTARACATACCATGTGATGTTGCTGTGCTTCCTTGATCCATCTAATGTTGTCTTGGTATTGCTGTTCTGTTTCCTCAGAAACTAAACCAAGCAAAAACAAAACATAAATTATAATGAAGTAAAACAGACGTTCAGTAACGACTGACCATACCTCCTTTCTTTATRATATCTTCCAAAACTTGTCTGGCAATTGAATCACTGGTTTCAAGGTCTGCAGGTATCCCGGATGTGCACACCCAACTAAGATCATGGTAAAAAATGATTTTGGCATAACATTTATTATAATTTCTATTGAACAGCACTACATTATAGATGAAGTCTAGTGTGTACTGAACTTACCGAAAAGGACCAAAACCCATGGAGAAGATATCACTGYAAATTAAAACAATCAAAATTATCTGTCAAAGATTTGTAACTTTTGTCTGTTTGAATATCCAGCAGTGGCTGGGCCTTCAGCTTACCCCATAATGTCCTGGACATATGAAGGGTAGATAAATGTACCAGGTAATGAGTCTGGCTTGGACACTTGAGCACCTGGTACCACAACCGAAAATTAAATCCAAAACAAAAACAAGCAACAAACAGAAATCAGATTGAAATGTAAATTTAAATTAGAGAATTAACATAAAATTTACAAAGAACAATATTTTAATCATACCAGCACGACTGGCTTCAAGCAAAAATGCATTTCCATAATCCCAGAAGAACATCCCACGATTTACCAGCTTCTTGATTGCTGCAACTTGGCGACGAAGACTACAGAAAGAAACGATCCTTGATTATCCTTATTCATCATCTAAAATTCACTTGTAAGCAATACCTTTCTTGGAYAAGACTTTTGAATCTATCAGGATCATATTTCATGATTTCTTTGGCTTCATCAAATGACACCTAATYAATGAGTGACACATGTCAATAACTACAAAAAGACACAGTTTTCTGAATATCTTGATAYTAGTTCTTCATGATCTCACCTGTACTGGATAATATCCACCATTGTATGGGTTGTGAAGTGATGTTTGGTCAGAGCCCAAGTCAACTAACAAGTCTCCTGTCCTGTCATACTCATCAGCGAGCCTCTCCCTTCATGAAACAGAGGTGAAAYGTCAATCAACATGCAGTTATACAACCAATAAATCAAATATGAATAATGAAATGTAGGGAAGTGAAGATAAATGGATGTAAATGAGGAAAAGTGGAAAAGTAAATGGGAAATTTAGGAAAAAGAGATCAATATCCCATGTACCTCATGGAATGGAATAGAAAAATGGGAAAATGAAAAGTGAAAAATGACAAAGAAATGGGGAAAGGACAGAGATAGAAGGAGAAAACTCACCATACATCAACTACATTTCCTAAATAACCAATGCTAACAGGTTTCTTCTCCTTCCGTGCTTTTCTAATGCGCTCCATCAAGGAGTTCAGATCAGCAGTGTATTCCATAAGCCACCTACACAAAGAAGGAAGTCTTTAGAACACTCTCCTGTTGGAAATGCATGATGCAAAAGAAATACTAGAAGTTCAAAAATAAAGGACATGATTGTTTTATCTGCTATGACTTACCCTTGGTCATATCGTTTCTTCAAGGCTGATTCATCTACCTATCGTATCAATACACGAGTTAATAACTAAATATTATTATCAGCAGAAAGTGTAATTTAAGACTAATAATAATAATATATACCTCAGCTACCACTCCAATACACCCTGAAATCACTGCAGCCTTGGGCTGTGCACCACTCATTCCACCAAGACCTGATGTGAGAAAAACCTGCACAAAACAAAATATCACATGACTATACTA